TTTTCTGTCAGTCTACCTCTATCTCTCTCGCTTCCTCCCTCACACACACGTACACACACTATCCCACATACACAACTCCGTTCTGCCAAAACACCCATGGGCGAGAGGGCCTGGTTGCTGGAAATGTCAAACTGCTTTGTCACGTCCAATCTCAGTCAGAGCGCCAAACCACTGTGTGTGTGTAGACTGGGCATGTGTTCTGCAAAAGCACCCAATCCCAAGACTAGCAGCTTTAGTGATGTGGGCTGTCAGTAAAGCTTTAAAAGAATGGCAAGAATTAATATTTCTAACAAAAAATAATGACATGTTATGTTTAATTAATGAGATAGCAAGACAAGACAAAATAAGAGCAGAAAAGACAATAGTAAATGAGTATCTCATACAAACTAGTGAAAGGCTGTCTGGGTTTTTAGGAGTACATTTAAAAGACACTACACATTTGGCTAGCCTGTGATGCTCACACACAGCTGTGTTTCCAATATCTAATGTATTATCTTAAAGAGGTGGTATTATGCTAATTTTCAGGTTCACAGTCTTAATTAGGGGTTGTACCAGAACAGGTTTACATGGTTTAATTTTCAAAAAACACAATATTTTTCTCATACTGCACATTGCTGCAGCTCCTCTTTTCACCCTGTGTGTTGTACGCTCCGCTCTTGAGCTACAGAGTGATGCATCTTACTTGTACAAAATCTTTGTTGGGAGTTGCACATGCGCAGTTCCCAGGTAAGGACTACTAGCCAATCAGAAGCAGAGAAGGGCGGGTTGTAAGAAACAAGGCCTTGCCGAAAAATGCTACCATAGCGCAAATCGATAGACTTGACTCTACTCGGCCCTGCTCCATTTTACATTGCAGATAGTACCAGAGATAGTAGGTAGCTTGTTGTAATAGCGACGCCACACACAACTGCCGCGACGTAATGTTCAATGTGACACACACACGATCCACACAGCTTTCTCTTTTTTAAGTGAAGTTTCAACATTCCTCAGAATGTAAAGACAGTTAAGCGGTATGAAAACCTTCCAGCTGTGTTTTCCTCTGCCGTTGTTGCTGCAGCGGTCTGTGTGGCGGCGGGCACAGAGGGCTCTGTGAGCGGGCGGCTGGCCGGCCTCACACGCTCCTCCTGCGGGTTGGCGCAGGCTTCCCCTGCAGCCACTTGCGGAGCTCCTCAACTCCGAAAATATTGCAAGCATTTTTGTTCCGCCATCACTTCTCATAAAACTGTCAATATTCGAAATCTACACAGCTGATTTCTCACCTCAAAACTTCTCAGAAATGGATTTAGTAATGAAATTCCATACGAAAACTGTAAAACTTTCTGTTGCTGGCCTCTGTCTGGTGCGCAACAGAAAGTTAGTGAATATTCTCTCTGACCAATCAGTAGTCTGTCATGGTTACATTTTAGTATTCCTCAGCTCGCTTGGAACCTCGACGGAGGTGAGGTGATACGAAAAAAAAAGTACCTGGAAGCAGGTACAGGTGCAACATTTCTACAATGGAAAACCTCCATTCAGATTAGCTTGGTTTGAGGGCGTGCCTGACCCCGCTAGCCGCTTGGCAAGCTTTATGATACGTTTTCATTGTGACGTCACAAGTAAAGGAAGTGAAGGGCTGGACTACAAACGAGCTGTTTTCAAGCGGTTCAGAGCAGAGCTTTCTGTGGGAGATGGGAACTCCCTTTGGGCTGGACTTTGGGCATTTTCACTTTGCAAACCTGTGCGCAAAAAAGATATAACTCAATAAAAGGTTACTACAGGATTTGTCAGTACAGTGTGACATCACCAATGGGTATGGTTACTGATCCAACAGAGCACATTTCTGACCACACACACATACGCAGTACCAGCACTTCTACATTTTAGTCTTTGGTGTACCATAACAATTTCTTGCAAACCGGCTCTTCTCACAAGCTGCTGGTACACCTTTCTGCCCTCTCCATATCAGGTTCTCAGGGCAATTCATAATGGCTCATCTGTTCATGTTCTTGCCGGCCTGCTTTTCTCTGTTTGCGGCTATTCTAAGTAACATTGCATAAACCTTACAAAGCCTGGCTCTAAAAGAGCACTAAGAGAACACGAACAACTTATTTTTTTTAACTTTAAGCATTGCATACACAACCACACCTAGTAGATGAGTGTAGAGTTGAAACAGACTAAAAACTGTTATGGAAATTCTGTTGATGTACTCAGGATTTCCAACACAGGGAGAAAGGCAACAGCAATGCAGAGACGTACACTGTAATACCCAAACCAAATCTGAAGAATGCCTTTTGGTCCGCAATATTTATCCCTCTGCGATTCTGAATAGTCGATGTTGTATCCATACAAAGTCATTCTTAACTCAAGACTCTGGTGGCTTACCTAAGCTACAGTACATTTGAGGCTTGAGGTTACATGCAACATTCTAAAGAGAGCCAGTCAGTCTGTCTGTAATAAATGGATTACAGAGTGCATCCTTATCAAGGCAGCCACATCAGACAGTCAACCCAACAGACAGAGAAGAGAGACAGAGTCTGACCTACTGTTTTTGAGAGTCAAGGCCCCTTCGGATAGAAAGCGATTTGCTCTTGTCTGCGGAATGCATGCAAGCTCGCCAAGCAGTGGGCTGCCCATTGGTCGATACAGCAATAGACCACCCTGGAGCGGTGCAAGCCAATGAAAATAAATGGTGTCATAGTGCAGCGATGCGGTTGGCGCATTGTGTCTGAAAGGCCCATCACAGACTGTCACCTTTGACTTACAACTAGCTCAGCATATAACCCTAACATGACCTGGGGAAACCTATGGGATATTACCCTTAATGAAGAAAAAGTTCCTTCACAGAAACTTTCAACCAGAGAGGGCAGTGAAACACTGCGTTTTCAGCCTGATATTAAATAACATTTTAAGATGATTTAATAAGTTTTTCCTCCAGAGTTTTCTTAATTAAAGGAGAGAGAAGAAGAGGAAACCCAATTTTAACTGTAACCCTAAAACCAAGCCTTAACCCACAAACAGCCCTCTGGAGAAATTGTGACTGGCTAGTAGTGCTTGCTTTACACAATTGCCCTCTTTCAAGGTCTGAAACCAACAAGACCTTCAATCTGAACAACAGAGACTAGACTGTTTCTCATACCACAAAACAACACCATGGTCCAAGAAAGGTTAAATCAAGGGCAACTGAAGATATTTGAAGAGAATTTGCTCTCTGCTGAAGAGGCTGAAGAAGCCTCTTGTATGAGAAGCGTAACATTTTCAAGTATCTTCAATACTTAAGTCCAGTTGCCCTTGAATTAACCGGCCTTGGATACCTATGACCTGGTGCCTCTATAGGCAGGATGGTATTGTTTGACAATAGGCTGCAAAACCATTACAAATGACCGTTACAAAAAAGGATTGATATGAACACTTCCAGATCCCCTTATACGGTTGTTTGTCTTATGTGGTTTAGTTAGGCAGCTAAATTCCCACCTTTGTTCCCTATTGTTAGGGAAATATTGTGGTCAGCATTAAAAGAAACTAATGTGGACAGCTATGCTAGATGGGATGGTAACAGTGATCATCCATGCCAAAGTCACATGCTTTGTTGACTCAAGCGTTCACCTCAAACTACTCACGATTACGTTTCACTAAATTCCGCTATAACATCTCTATCTTTGGCTCTATCTTTATCTTTAGCTCTATCTTTGCTTCTGACATACAACAGTCTTTACTTTAATTATCACAAGAGGTCCTTGTCAGGTATATGCAAATATAAGTCATTTAATTTGCTTAAATGCTGCCCTTTTTCTGGCGAGGACATTATCTCTAAATCTGTTGTCTCTCTGCTCCTTTTCTTAAGTTCCTTAAAACAGAAATGTGTCATGTAATTTACTCTCAATTTCAAAATTCAATAAGATACTAATTCCAACATCATTTGTTTTTAAAGCACCAAATGTGATTGCAGATCAGGCTTTCCAGACTTTAAAGAGTTTGTACTGTAAGTGAATTTGTGTGTAGGAGGTTGGATGGCAGCGGTCCCATTTTCCTGGGGTGAATTTGATCTTTCCCGCTATGCCGCAAACACTCTTCATCTGTCTTAAATTCTTCCTCTCGTGTTCCACTTTTCAATTCTTCCTATTACCAGTCTCAGATGCAAGCTTTTTTTAGGGTGGGTGATTCTACCCACTCACAAGCTGTTCATTCTTCCACATACATGCAGTTTAAGGCTGTGATCACATCTGTCATATTGTCTCCAAAGGAGCGAACAGTTACATTGTTTCTAAATGAGGAGTGTGCGTTTTGACTGGTTTTTGGGGCTAGTGTCCCTCACATTCTTTTAGATCATTATTGTTTCTATTATGTGATGTTGTTGTAGGCATTCAATGCCACTGCTATTCCCACATGAAATAACATACATTTATTGCCTCTTTCCCTGCTTGTTTCCGGCTGTCTGAATACATGCTGATTCTGCTGTCTGAGTGGATGTTTCTCCCAGCAACCAATGAAAGGCTCCTGATTGCTTAGAATTTCCTGCAGTTTAGCTGCTGGCCCTCTTTGTGTGTTACCACCTCCTTATATACAGTACAGTCTATGATTGGCAACTCCAAAAAGAAAAAAAACAACACCCGTTCTGCCAAATGTATATTCTATCATTCTTCTTCCAGTCTCTGTTCTCTGAAATTATTCTGAGATTAAATTTACACTGAAGGAAAAGCACATCTGACTTAAGAAATCTCATCACCCTGCTTCCTCTTTTTTAAAATAATTTAGTCTAGCTCAGCGGGCATTACACCTGCCTTTCTGTCCACCCGTCTTGTCTGCCTGAGTTATAACCATCAATCACACTTGAAATGATTTATCTCAGACAATGCTCTGCTTTATTATTATGGTATTGCTGGCTCATATCCAAACCAGAATTTGAACAAGTTCAATGGGAAGCAAATGCAAATGGTTTGTTGATTTTATACGCACTTCTTTTCTCTTTTCCTGTTGTGTGCAATTTACATTGATTGCAATTGAGCGTTGCTCTGTTTCCACAGCAACTGATGCGGTCCTCTGTGTTCCACATGTTCATCTTGAGCATGGTCGCTGTGGACGTCATTGTTGCTGCTAGCAACTATTATAAAGGCGAGAACCACCGCAGGCACTATGATGAGTTTTACCTGGCAGAGGTGAGATGTTTTTTTGTTTATGTCCACCGCAAAGACTCAGTTTTAACATGTGTATTATTTACAACAGCGTGAGATCATGTTTTTGATGCATCTTTTGTGAAAAGCCTATTATATGACAAACATGTGGGTTTTTCCTCCACAGAGGTTCTGATTGGTATTTTCCTGCATGGCAATGTGGTCTGTTATTAATAGGGATTTAATCCTGCATAATATGAGTGCCTTATGATATTGCCCTGTCTACTCAAATGATGTATGATGCAACTGGGGATTTTAGGTGTTTTTTAGGTTTTATGTGTCAACCAGTTTATAATCCATACATGTATACATTTATTATTGTTCAATAATGAGCGTAAGACACTTCACTTCCATTAAATCATCAATCAAATTAGGTATATGTATATTTGTTCTTTTCATTTCACTTATTTATGTTTTAAATACACACATGCACACAACACTGTATGTGTCATGCAGGTTGGTTTGATGTCATCAGTATGCAGGTGATAAGCGCCAACAAAGACAGTGAGGAGTGGGCCCACCTCCCCCGTCCATTTCATACCTCTCTTTCTCACAACACACACAGCTGAATGGAAGAGATAAGAAAAGGGAAAAAACACACACACACAATATTACCTTCTCTCACTCCCTCCAGTCATATCATACAGCCATCTATCTGCAGATTTGTTCCAATCTGTGTGAAGGCTGTGAAGGGAAAATAGGAAATGGAGGGACTGGGTTTAGAGTTAAATGGAAAAATACTGTTTTTATTGGTGAGGTGCCAATTTTATTCGCTACTTCTTACTGTTTTTCCCCATGCTGAAGACACTGGTGGTATAAGCATTCAGATAATTTACTTAAAGAAGTCCTCCAACAATTTAGTATTGCATTTACATCAAAATCAATGCAACAAGAGTCTTTGCTATGGGCCAGGCTCCAAAAAACAGAAGATCCTACATGTCCCATAATGCACATTGGTGAACTCCAAACCAGAGTTTGAGTTACGTGGGAGCCAGTGGGAGCTCAGCTCCCATAAGGAGGGTCTGAGCTCCCATGGAAGCAGTAAAATCATCCATCTCTGGGGGTTTCTAATTTATCAACAACCATTATTGTTATTGTCAGAAATAATGTATTTTCATTGTAATTTGTACGTACTATTATTTACATTAAACAAGATAAACAGACTTAAATGAGCACACTTTCCTAATGAACTATGCTGCGCATCGCATGACTGACAGGATGGCTGCACTTCTCCACCATCAGCAACTATGGTGCGCACAGTTTTGACCGAACAAGTTGAGGCTGCGACCCATGAAAATGAACTCAGTTGTTTTGTAGCCTACTGTTTACTCTGTATTGACTGCAGCTTATTTGTTTAGTATTATTGGCTTTTTGATGCATCCTCCAATTAGTACAGCGCTACAAATGATAATATGCTTGCTACTGTGTGCCGGTGACAAGCAGTGCGCAAACTAATAACACTTTCATATTACCATAAAGGGCGGAATTGCGGTCTCTCCTTGAGCAATAGTCTTTGATGCCATTTTTCAGGCGATTGAAACTTAAGGGATTGCCTAATGTGAGTAGGCCTACACCCTGTTGCAATATCTCACAGACATCTGGCGCAAGTAGTGGACTGCCTTGTATGTGTGTTTGTGCGTTGCCATGTGTGTGAGAGAGGGAAATATTGAATCACGTAATAAGCAATGTGCTCTCTCTCTCTCTCTCTCTGTCTATTTTACCACCTCCTTGTCGCAGAGGTATCCTAATTTAAATCGCAGTAGCTCACATGACATGCACAAAAGTCATTCGCTTCAGGTGTCACTGCATGGCCTGACCTCGCTCTCTCTCTTTTAAAAAAATCACATATAAAATGCATCCAAAATAGGCAATTAAGCAAATAAAAGAATCACTGCACAGATAACCTTAAACATTACACAAAATCCAACTCAATTACTGTTAACACCTGACAAAAGTTATTGAGAGATATTTGTGGTGGCATGGAGTAAATGCCAATACTGATTTTTATTTTCTCTATTCTATCCCAGGTTGCCTTCACTGTGTTATTTGACCTAGAAGCTCTTCTGAAAATCTGGTGCTTGGGCTTCACCGGCTACATCAGCTCCTCCCTGCACAAGTTTGAATCTCTTTTGGTAGTGGGTACTACGCTGCACATCTACCCTGACCTCTACCACTCTCAGTTCACCTATTTTCAGGTATGGATACACATATGCACATTTTTACAGTATGCACTTGTACAAATGCATGTATGTACATAAATCCATTTATATCCTAAATATGAAACTAAATTATCCACACATAAAATTGCAGAGAAGAACAGGGCATTTCTTTCCTATAGAGGGTATGCGCATGACGTCACAGAACGCAGTTACGCTCACTGAGTAGCAGAAAGACAAGCAGCAGTGTTAGCTTGAATCAGTTAAAACACAAACAACACATCTAAAATGGGAAAATCACTGTTGAGTCCGAGTGCCTTTAATTTGAGCAAATAAGCACTTCTTTTACTCCTGGTTTGCTAAACGCAGCCATGGTAACAGATGTTTTGCCACTCAGTCCAGCATGTTCCAGAAGGGGAAGTGACATCAATGCATACCATGCATTAATAAATACAAATCAATCATATCACTCTTCTGTGTTAAAAACCTCTCCTGTATTCATTCAAATGCTTGTACTGTACATAGGTACTGTAGTCTCCACACATGTCTAAGAGCGATTTGGTTAAATTCAAATGGAGTTTAACTGTAGCATTTTTCAGTCATGACACATTTTGAGGGACATTTTGCTTGAAGTTTTCAGTGAAAATAGTTGTATTCTGATGGTTTCTTTGATGATATTTAGCATAACTTTGAGCCTGAGTGTGCAGTCCTCATGTGGCAATGATGCCTTGTAGCATCATCCATGAACAAAGCCTTCATGTATTGCACCCTCTCCAAAATGTAGCCCTGTGACCTTGCTGTAGGTTGTGTAATATAGCCAATGAAAAGCTATTGTGGACGATCTGATGGGAAAGGGCTTCTTGATAGGTTTTTAATGAGCCTTGACCATACAAGCTGCCCTGATCCTGTCTGACATCTTCCATCTACACATGTGGAGTGCTTATACTCAAGCAAACATATACACTGTAGCTGTGTAATATTATAATAATTGTTGACTTACTGTTTTTTATTGCATTTTTGTAAATTTTTAACATATTCTAGATATTACTTCAGCACATTTTCAATGTACAAAACATACAATAATGTTTTTGTTAAATGTGCTTGCCTTCCTTCCAGGCAGTTGTTTCAGTACAAGATTAAAATCATCTTGCAATGACTTGAGACTTCCTTTAGCTAGGTAATCGATTCCAGTAAAAAGGCCTATGTCTTGTATTAGAAAACTTAGTTAGAAAACTTCTGCATGGTAGGCAGTCTTTAAATGTGTATGTATTTCAGACTGATGTGCATTCACATGCTTGTGAAAGCCTTACTGTCCAAAGATATAAGAATTAGTTGCTGAACAGCATTACAGCCATGAGCTGTTTTTTTCTAAACCAATATTGCGACTGTGAAATCAATTAGAAATATTTTCTATAAATTACGCTTCAGGGCTGTGTTGTGGTCAACATGTCATATCTACCGCTCGATATTTTACTATCAAGTCTGGTTAATAACACTCTTGCAGTTATCAAAATTACCCTTTTTCAAATTGTGACTATAATGAAAACCATTCATCACATTTTTATAATAATAGGTACCATAATAATATTGGATTCTCTATACATGTAATGCATCCATTGAACAAAAGACATGTCAACGTCAAATAAAAATCTCTAACAACTACAAACAGAGATCAAGCTCAGAGCATAGCTTAACAACATGCACAGATAACACACAGTTTGCAAAGTAATGTCCACATTTTTCAATGCAGCAATTCCCTGTTTATACATTTGCACACATTCATGTCAGTCTTCTTTTGGCTAATGAGCATTTTTTACGAGCAACTGGGAGTCAAGTGCTTCCTCACCTGGGAAAGCATTTCATTCATTCCTTGCTGATATTTTTCCAAGTAGTCCGGTTGAAACAGGTGACATTTAGTCACAAGCGATTAACCTTAAGGCTCTGTGCTGGAATCAGAAGTGTATTCTGGCTGTAGGAGAAGGAATGAGGTTACACAATCAATGATTGTTTCAGATTTTTATCCAACCAAGGGGTGTTCACTGCTAAAGGTTAACCTTACTAATTGTCTTCAGTCTGGACCAAATGCC